GCAGTCATCTGCCCCCTTCTCTGACTCCGCTACACCCTCTGCGACAAAGTCGGCCAAGACCTGGGCCTTTATTGCCGGACGTGGCGCATACCTGATTTCGAATTCACTTAGCTGGACTGCCTATTTGACAAGGCGCCCGACCACGTCCATTGACCCCAATGTGGATTTCAACGGGAGATTGGTGAGTACCACGATGGTGTGTGCCTGGAAGTAGGGCCTCAACTTGGTCGCGGCCATCACAACCGCTAATGCGGCCTTCTCAATGGGCGCGTATTGCCTCTCGTGGGTGACCATGGTGCGACTGACATAGTATACCGGTTTGTCTTCTATAGAATGGGTTTCCCTTGCGACGAGCACTGCACTTACTGAGACTTCTAACACAACAATGTAAAGGTACAACGTCTCCCCCGCTTTTGGCGCCGTCATCACAGTTGGGGCGCTTAGGAGCTGTTTTAGTTCTTCGAACGCCCCATCACACTCGGAAGTCCACTGGAAATGCGCTGCCTTTTTGAGCGTTCGAGGGAGCTGCTTTGTCGGCGGATCGGGGAATGAAGCGCCCCAGAGCTGCTAACCTTCCCGCCAGGCCTTGTACTTCCTTGGGCGTCTTTGGGGGAGTCAACTTGAGAATGACATCTACCTGCTTTGGGTTGGCTTCCATGCCCCTTTTGGTGATCATGAATCCCAGGAATTTCCCCGCCTCGGCGCCGAACACACACTTGAGGGGGTTGAGACGAAGCCTATGCGCCCTCATGGCCTGGAACGTCTCCCGCAAGTCTTCCAGGTGGTCTTCCCGTCTCCGGCTCTTGACTATGAGGTCGTCCACGTAGGCTTCCACATTTCGACCAATTTGTTGACGGAAGACGCTGTTGACCATTCTCTGGTAAGTTGCGCCCGCGTTCTTGAGCCCGAATGCCATGACCCGGTAGTAGAAATTTCCAAAGGGCATCATGAAAGCTGTTTTAGGCCGGTCTTCTTCCGCCATGGGAATTTGGTGGTACCCGGAGAACATGTCCATGAAGCTTAGCATCTCGTGATATGCTGTGGAGTCCACCAATAGGTCTATCCGGGACATCGGATAGGCGTCCGTTGGACATGCCCTGTTGAGGCTCGTATAATCCACGCACATTCTCCAATCTCCCGATGACTTTGGCACAAAGACCACATTTGACAACCAAGTAACATAAGAAGTTTCCTCGACCAAGTTAGAGCCTATGAGCTTATCCACTTCGACCCTAAGTGCCGCCTCCTTCTCCGGCGATAGGTTCCTACGCTTTTGCTGCACGGGGCGCCTGCCCTCCTCGACCGCCAACCTGTGAATGGCCGTTTCGGGCGTGACGCCTAGCATTTCCAGTGCACTCCACGCGGAAAGCTCCGCGAACTCTCTCAAGAGGGCGATGAGTTGCTCCTTCATTTCAGCGGGCGCCTCTGTCGATATCCTCACGTGTCTTTCTGGGCGCCTTTCATCCAGCGCAACTAAGAGTTCTTCGTCGGCAGCCTCGGCTCGAAGGGCCTCTTCTACCACGACTTCCATCACGTTGACTCTCGCATCAGCGTGCCTGCGCTTCCGTCCAGTTTCCTTTGCATAACGCGGGGCGCCTCGTCCTCAGGCCACACCCACTCTTTGCGGGGCTATGAACTTCAAGGTTTGGTGACAAGTGGAGGCTACCCCATTGAATAAGGCTAGGAGGGGCCTTCCCAGGATTGCATTGTATGGCGATGGGCAGTCCACTATTACGAAATCGATGGCGCGTGTCAACCTTTGCTCACCATCTCCCCAGGTGACCGGCAGGCACACTCGCCCTATTACTATAGCGGGCGCCCTTGAAAAACCGACCAGCACTGACTCTGATGGTCTGATCATCTCCGGTGATAGTCGCATGCGAACTACCGTATCCTTGAACAACACATCCATGGAGCTTCCCGTGTCAACAAGCATCCTTCTCACCTTGCATCCCGCTACCACTCCCTGTATCTCCAAGGCGTCCATGGACGGGAGCATGCATGCTTCTTCTGGCGCCTTATTGAAGCTGATATCGATCACCTCCTGCACGTCTACCGATGCCGTTCTCAGCCGGCGGTTTGCCTCTATCTTTTCCCTCAAGTCCATTGTTCCCGAAATGGCTTCGATGGTTAAACGTACGCTATCGGGTGCTTTTTCCTGATCGAGGTCATAGGGCGGGGGTGGCAGCTCTTCCTTCACCCTTTCCACGCCAGCCACGCACGCCCGGTGCACTCTCTCTTCACGCTTCTTGATGAAGTCGTTAAGCATCCCTCTGTCGGCCTGGCCCTGCAGCTCTGTCTTCAGCTGATAACAATCGGCTGTATAGTGCCCCACTTCTCGGTGGAAGTCACAATACCGATCTAAGTTCCACTCGTTGGGTTGTCCTCTCATGGGGCCCGGCCACCTGATGTGATACCCCTTCTCCTTGACGTGCTGGAGTACGTTCTTCAGAGTGTCGTTGTACTCAGCGAAGTGTCCCGCCCCCCTTGGCGCTGGGCGCCCCACATCAGCTCTCCTTGGCGGGGGATGGCTTGCGGGCGTATACCATGAACCGCTCAGGGGTACAGCCTCCGTATCATTTCGACTTCTTCCCCTCTTGTCTTTCGCCTGTCTGCCCTTCTGGCTGCCAATGTTTCTTCGAGCATGATCACCTTTTGTACTATGTGATCCAAATCTTCCGTGGATACCACATCTCTCTTTGCAAGCGACCTACACAGCTCCTCGCTGGTGGTGCACTCATTCAGACACACTCCCAACATTGATGGCTGAGCGTCCTTCACTGCTAGGGCCACGGACAGCCACCTCTCGTATAATTCTCTCAGCGCCTCTTCCTCCTTTTGCTTGACTTTGAACAGGGCGCCTATGGTCAAGGAGCGCCGCTTCCTGCTAACTAACTTTGCCAGAAACATCGCTGCAAACTGCTCAAAGCAATCAATGCGCCCCTCTTCTATCTGGTGGTATCAGTCGAGGACCACGCTTGAGAAGGTTGACGGAAACACCTTGCACATGAGTGATGACGGCGCCTATGGTCAAGGAGCGCCGCTTCCTGCTGGCAAAATTTGCCAGAAACATCGCTGCAAACTGCTCAAAGCAATCAATGCGCCCCTCTTCGATCGGGTGGTACCAGTCGAGGACCATGCCTGAGAAGGTTGACGGAAACACCTTGCACAGGGTGGCGTCTGTGCTGTTGTAGAGTTGCATTTTGGTGAAGTACCCGTTAAGGTGGTCCTTGGGATCCGCGGTCCCGTCATAGGTAGAGAGCGGGGGAATGTTGGTTCCTGCGGGCTCCGTCAGTACGTTACACGCCAGGGGATGCCTCACGGGGCAGTGGCGTGACAGGCGCCCCAGCATTCCTCCGTTCCACCCGCTAGCATCTGGCCCTCCATAATCACGCGGGCGCCATAAGTTTGGGTGTCTCAGACATCCCGATTCACTTTCCGTCTCCGCCACTCTTTCCCTCTTCTTCGTCGGGCTGGGCGTCATCCTTTCGCTCCTTTTTAAGGCGTCCACTTCTCTCCGAAACGCCTCGATCACCTCATCCTGATCCTCGATGATCCTAAACAATTCCTTTTTCGTGACCGAGGCGCCTTCCGACCCCCGAAACATGCCATCACTTTCCTCGCCTTCATCCATCTCGGGCGTCTGCCGTCTCAACCGCTCCGATTGTTCCTCCGTAATTTCCTCTCTTTCTTCATTCATCGGCGCCTCCTCACTCATGACTCCTGGTTATATTCTCCTATCTGGCGCCCCAATTGTTTGTGACACGATACCCAGTTAGGGCTCTCGCAGATCCACTCTTGCACGGCGCCTATCTGCACACACGAACACGGAGGGGGCGCCTGGGCCCGTTAATCCTCCGACGCCCAAGTTAGTTCCTAGAGAGAGAAGTGTCTCCTAGCTGGAGTTATGGTGAGAGAATCCAACCTGTGTAAATGCTACCAACTGCCCCTATTTATACTCACCAGAGTTTGAGGTTGATCTCCTCCACGTCACTGTCTCCATTTAATGTCTTGTACTTTCCTTGTCAGATATCCCAACTGCCTTGTCAGGCTTCTAGCACGTGACAGGCGCCCGCAGACGATGAACCACTTGACAGCCTGGCCTCTCTTGACAGTCTGACCTCTTTTGGCTTCTAGTGTCTTGTCTTCATGCGTCCCCCACCTTGCTTGGGTCTATAACTGCTTTGCACTTCCAATTACGGACCTTGCCCCCCAATTCTGTTGCTTGGAAGCCCAAACTACCGCTCATTGGGCCTCGCTCATAATACCCCCAACAGTTACCATTATAAAACTAAATCATCGTAAATAACCATAATTAATTACAAGGATTTTCAAAATATGTCTATAATCGATTTACGATTTATCAATTTAAACGACTTTAAATATTTTTGGATTAGGAGTGGAGTACAGTTGAAAACACAAAATTGGTGACTGAGTATTCAGTGATTGATTGATAAGTTAAGCAATAGTTCAGCCTTTCGTAGATCAATATTGAACTCACATGTCAGAGAATAGATTATTTTAAAGAATATATTTAAAATATATAAAAATTAATATAAGAATTAACTTAATTAACACAAATAATCAAATAAAACTCACCTGGCCAACGAAGCGGGTTCAAAGCTAGTTACATTGTAATTAACGTTTACTCCCTCAATACACATCCAATGCTGCAACATACCTGATTTCTCTGATCACTTCTCCCCCTCCCATTGTGGGATTTCCATTAAATATCCCCCCTTAGTTCCATCAAACTCACATAATGACAATTACTGACAGCAACTCACCGAGCAGCATAATTCAGTCGCCATTCGATCAACGGTCACCCCCTCACTTTTCCCATTGGATCCATAGCAACAATGTTATGGCCCGTGACAGGGTTTCGGAAACTCAAAATTCCAGGACAAATTGCCGGCCTCTTCCAAGTGTTAAATCGCAGTACTTGTGTCTCTTGGATCCTGTCTTCCAACTATATAAAGCACGTTTCAGGAGTGCCAATGCAGCACAACACAACCCTGCAGAACAAAACAAAACTCTTCTGGGTTCCCTACTTCTTTCTACATTCAGTCAAAAATGGAGAACAAGATTATGTTGACAGGTCTTGTAGTACTGTTGATCAGCCTTGCCTCAGTCCCAGCATCCATCTACGGAGAAGCCGATTTGGATACTTACATTGTGTTCTTGCAGAAACCAGAAGGCCTCTCCTTACTTGCAGATGGGGAATTGGACTCATGGTACAGCACATTCCTTCCTGATACTCTACTGGCGAGCTCATCCAAGACCCGATTGGTCCATTCCTACCGCAATGTCGCGACAGGGTTCGCGGCGAAGCTGACCAAGGAGGAAGTGAAGGCCATGGAGAAGAAGGATGGGTTCATCTCGGCTCAGCGCGAAAGGATGTACAGTCTGCACACGACTCGCACTCCCGGATTCTTGGGATTGCAGCTCAACACCGGTTTGTGGAACGGTTCGAACAATGGGAAGGGTGTGATCATCGGAGTTCTGGACACGGGCGTCACGCCTAACCATCCTTCATTCAACGACCTGCACATGCCCTCCCCGCCTGCCAAATGGAAGGGCAAATGCCAGCTACCGAAATGCAATAACAAGCTCATCGGGGCGAGGAATCTCGTCTCGGATTCCTACGCCATCGATGATGAAGGCCACGGCACCCACACTTCCAGCACGGCTGCTGGAAGCCCTGTACGGGCGAGTGCCTTTGGGCAAGCTAGCGGCGTGGCCTTTGGGATGGCGCCGCTAGCTCACATTGCAATCTACAAAGTCTGCAGTGAAGAGGGTTGCACTGGAGGTGCTATACTAGCAGGAATGGACGCTGCAGTCGCGGATGGCGTCGACGTGCTGTCTCTCTCCCTGGGCCTGCCTTCAGAATCTTTCCCCGATGACCCGATTGCAGTTGGTGCGTTCGGAGCGATCCAGAATGGGATTTTTGTCAGCTGCTCTGCTGGAAATGCTGGTCCTGCAAGCGCTTCGTCGGCCAACGAGGCGCCCTGGATTCTAACAGTTGGAGCTAGTATGATCGATAGGAAGATTAAGGCCACCGTTTTGCTTGGAAACAAAGCAGGCTATGATGGCCAATCCCTGTTTCAGGATAAAAAATTCCGTCCCCGATTGTTGCCTCTTGCGTATGCAGGGGCGAATGGCAGAGCAGCTTCCAGATTCTGTGGCCCTGGCTCGTTGGACAAGTCCGTCCGAGGAAAAATCGTCTTGTGCGAAAGAGGAGGAGAAATTGATAGAATTGCCAAGGGGCAGGAAGTGAAGGACAATGACGGAGCTGCCATGATCCTGATGAATGATCAACAGAGCGGCTTCGACACACTAGCCGATGCTCATGTCCTCCCTGCATCCCATGTCAGCTTCTCCGCTGGCGTGGCGATCAAGGCATACCTGAACTCCACCAAATCACCAAAGGCCACAATCCTTTTCAACGGAACTATATTTGGCAACCCGAATGCTCCAATGGTTGCCTCTTTCTCCTCGAGGGGTCCCAGCCGGGCGAGTCCCGGAATCCTGAAACCAGACATCATTGGCCCTGGAGTGAATATCTTGGCAGCTTGGTCTGTGTCGGTTGATAACATAACCAACCCGCCGTTCAACATGATATCAGGAACTTCCATGTCTTGCCCTCACCTCAGCGGCATTGCTGCTCTACTGAAAAATGCTCACCCTGATTGGTCCCCCGCCGCGATCAAATCAGCCATGATGACTACCACCTACCTGACGAATCTCGGAGGGAAGCCAATCCTCGACGAACAGCTTCGCCCTGCTAACTTGTTCGATACCGGTGCAGGGCATGTCAATCCAGTACTGGCTGCTGATCCCGGGCTCGTTTATGACCTGCAGCCGAACGACTACATTCCTTATCTGTGCGGGTTGGGATACAAGGAGAGCGTGATTTCGGGGATCTTACAGCGCAAGGCACACTGTGGGAATTCGAGCATTCCTGAGGCTCAGCTCAACTATCCTTCGTTCTCGATCAGGTTGGGTTCTACTCCCCTGACATTCTCGAGAACTGTGACAAACGTTGGCCGGGCCAATTCGGTGTACGTAGCTAAAGTTGTGCTACCAAGAGGAGTTGATGTGAAGGTGCATCCAAAGAAGATTGTCTTCAATCGGTTGAATCAGAAGGCCACATTTACTGTGACGTTTACCAGCAAGGGGAAATCTGCTGAATCTTACTCCCAGGGTTTCTTGTACTGGCTGACTCAAGGTTACGTTGTGAAGAGTCCAATTGCCGTTGTATCCGGGTAAGGAAACTTGGTGGATTTCGGTTCCTGCAAATTTTCTGAAGATAGCAAGTTGGTTTGTTAACAAAAGGTTTTAGTACATTTTAATGTTCATCAAACGATTGGTGGTGCTTGAATGCCACTGATAGTGGTGGTATGTGAGAATGCAAATGTACGCATTCTCTCTTGGTTCTATTTCCCGTTAGTTTTAAGCAACAAATGGAACGGTCGCCTAGTTTTCCGTATTAAAAGTAGTAAAGTTATGTATTGTGTTTTTACTAGCACTAGAATTAGGGCTGCTAAACGGTACGGTAACCGGTTTACCGGTTACCGTTTTACCGGTTTCGGTAATACCGGGCATAAAAAATCAGCCGCCGGTTACCGTTACCGTTCACGGCCGGTATGCCGTTTACCGATGAGACACGGTAGCGGTAAGTCTTCGAACTCCCGAATTTACCGACAGACCCTGCCCCCCTCGCTGGCGGCTGGCGCTGTCTCCTGTCCAGCTGTCCAGGACCCCAAATAATTATTAGTTAATGACTTCCCTCAAGTTTGCCTGTCCTATGCTGGCCTCCTGTCGGCTGTCCCTGTCTCCATGATGGGTGGGGTGGCAATATCATTGATATATGATATTGATAGCATGCATAGGCAGCGAGATCATCATCATTCATCATCATCATTCATCATCACCAACGAGGCAACGACGCCACACCCCACACCTGACACAGTGACACCACCACATGGCTCAAGTAAATTCCAAACAAGTAAATTCATAGGCAACGAGACATTTAAATTGTCAATACTCAATAATATCAATATAGTAAATGGTGGCGACAAAACTGCAAGTGCACAGTGTCGTACAAGTAATAAAGTGTAAGTAAAATTATCGTTCTCTAGGGGATTGGTGAAACTCAATAATTAACAAATTTAGTTCAAGAAACTATAGGAATTGCAAAGGTTGTAATCAAGTGATGATTTGCAAAGATCGCACAAATTAAGTAACTCGATAAATCAACTATTTTGGAGAAATTGATATTGTAGAGTTCCGGGGGAAACACAAGATTCTACTATTTTACCTCAGTAAATTTAATTACCCTTGTCAATCGATTTAATCCATATTTCTACAATCGGGATACCTATAATTTGATAGCTATCTCTATCGAGAATTACCACGTACTAGCTAATTAAGACAATTTCTACTATCGTAGTTAACTGAATTAATTAATTAGCCTTAAGAACGATATCCCTGAAATGACTGCATAATTCCCTATTTAATCCACTATCGCTTCGATAGGCAATTATGTCGTGTGAAATGCGTTCGGTTACTAGGTTTTCACTATCGTTATTAACCTAGAAAACTACAAATCATTGTGAAGGTGGCCAATCAACACAAAGCGTTAAACAATTCCACACGATAGAAAATGGAAGAAAAACAAGTCATGATTAAAACATCGAGGCTAGATAATGAAATCCCTAAGTTTCCTCCAGAAATTGGGGGATTAGTTCATGATGAAAAGAAAGTACATAAACATGCTAATGTTCAACATGATGACTAACTACCAAAGACAAAGGAGTAGAGAAAGTACTAAGTGTTGGAGTTAATTCCCCAACTTACAAGAGTCTTCCTTTCTTCAAAATGCTCAACTCCAAAGTGTGCCAAAGTGAGCTCTCTCCTTTGATTTTTCTGTCTAAAACTAGTCTCCAAAAAGTCTCTCCCAAGTCTCCTAGTTGCTGCCCCTTTTAAATCCATTTTCTGCAGATTTAATCCCACAAAACAAGACACTTGCAGGTCACATTTCCAAGAGAAGGCAGCTGCTAGCTTAAGTCTCTTTCTTTGCAATAAATTCTTGCATAATTTTCTCTATTGGTGAGCCACCAAATCCATTTGCTCACTTCAAGAAATCTGACCCAATCCCAATAATTTATAAGGGTTGCTGACAGTTGAGTGAAGATTCCAACCACAATAATTCGATTTGGGTCTTCATCGATTTGGCCTCCTGCTGGACGTTTGCCTCTGCACATCTGCATTTGACCCTGCACCTGCATTCGTCCACTGCACTTTGTTTTGTTCACAATCTTAGCTTCAATCTGTGTTAAATCGCTACATGTCTTGGTAATGACACTGGGGTCATTCCATAGTCAATATGAACTCATTTAGAGCAATTTAAACACATACATACATAAAGATAAATCATTTATGCACAAAATACATATATGTTTATGAAGCTTATCACAACCCCACACTTAGCATTTGCTTGTCCCAAAGCAAAAGAGAGAAATAATTGAAAGAGAGGCAAATAAACATACAACTAAGACTCCTAGGACTCAAATAAAGGACACACTACTCCTAAAACTCGACTAACACCATTGTTGCTTGAGTGACGGTGTGACTAGCTGTGGACCTACTATGCTTTGGTGTAGATATCTATGTATATACACTATCGTCAAATTCAACCTTTCCATGCACACCTAGGCTTGCAAGTTATATTACACTCCATCACATGATATACCCTACACCTAGAATAAACACACTAATAGTGGATTGTGCCAAAACTCATTCAAACAAAGAGTAAGGTAAGTTAAGAGTAAAAGCATGGCATCTAGATTTCCTCACTAGGAATGTGTATTTCGCTCAATCACACAAGTGTTTAAGGGTTGGTGTTTACACTCAAGTTTTTTCCTTACTAGTGCTTACCTGAACCTTGTTCTTCAACCACAGTTGGACCGATCAGTACAAACACAAGCATATCAAGATGACAACGTTTGGGTAATATGTGTAAGGCTAAGGGTTAAGGTGAGGTTTCATAGGAGGGAAATGGTGATGCTCACGAGGAATGAGTTACAAAGGTGGACCCAAAGCAAAAAAAAAATGCATAACATAAGCAAAACTAAGACTATATAATAAGGGAAGAACATTGATTCTCAAAGATGATACATCGATCCTTATTTATTTTCCCCTTTTCTCTTTCTCTTTTACTCTTTTTTTCAAATTTTTTCATCATTTTTTTTTCAGAGGATTTTTTTCTTCTTTTTACTGTTTTTTTTAATGGGGATGAGACTAAAAGACTTGATGGTCAATACCTCTTTTCTAAGTAGTAGGCGACAAAATGATGCAAAAGAAGGTGCAGTGGCAGAATGCCTATGCAGTGGCAAAATGCATACTGCAGTGGCAAAATGCATCTCTCATTTATAGCTTCAACTCCTACCTTAGAACATCAACTTTATTTACAAGACAATGAAAATGAAAATGGGTCACTATATTCACACAAAGGACCTCATTCCTCGCGAGAAGGGTTCAACGGGGGAATACAAGAAAAGGGTAAAGGTGAGAGGTGTGATCGAACCGAAAAAAATCAAGGTCAAGTCTCAAAGAGGTTGATCCTAGTTGTCAATGATAGGGTAGGCTTTTTGGCTCGAGTTGTACTAATTGTCTCTATCGTTTATGCTTGCATACATACAACACAATCCATTCGTGGTTTTGATCAAGATTACCGAAACACAAAGTAATGAAAAACTTCACACAATAGAAAATTGACATTGAAGGTTCAAACTCACGGCTACTAGATGCCATACCCTACTCTATACAAATTATACTCAATTTTACCTAAGTTCGGGCACAATTCAATTCTAGTGAGTGAATTTTAATATGAGGGTACACCATGTGAAACAGGCAATCCTACATGCAAACACAAGTTATGCATTTCAAGGTTAACTTGGGATAACCGAGAGGCAGATTCATACACCGAAGCATAATAAGTTCACAAACCATTCACACAATCATTCCAAGCAACGACATTCTACCCTATCAAGTTCAAGACACAACACCTCAAACATAGTGGGAACGACTCACATTCACCAAACATTATGTACAATACATACTCTAAACAAAACTAAAACTCTCCACCCCACACTTAGGATGGAACATTGTCCCTAATGTTCTGTACCTAGACTCTAAACATGCTAACACAAAAATGAAAAAGTAAGCAAAGGGAAAGATGAAAAACCTCGGGACAAATGCTAGGCGGATGAGGTGGGAGGTGGTGGAAGGTCGCTTGGGCAATCAATTCCACTCTTCTTGAGATGCTCGGCCATTTTATGAATAAATTGATGTTGGATGTTGATTTGTTGTTGTTGCTGCTGGTACTTATGATCTTGTTGCTCCAGTTGTTGTTGTAGGTGAGCAATGATGTCCCCCGGGTGAGTGCCTTGTGTTGGGGTGTTTGTGGAGCGATTTGGATCAGCTTGGGGAGTCCTTGAAGATGCTCCTGAGGTGCTGGCAGCGGCTGCTAGGATTTCTATTGCACGGGCAGCAGCCAAATCATCTTCTTCTGTTGCCTCCTTGGTCGTGGTTTTCTCCGTGTTGGCTTTTGCTTTCTCTTCCTTGATTTTGTTGAACTCAGGTATCGATACATACCTTCCTCTTGATCTGATTCTTCTTATGTAGTTCATATTGGATAGAGTTCTTTCTTCGATTACTATGGCTCCCTCACATTTGTCTATGCCATTCGGATTCTTTGGAAATCCGCAATAAGTTTGGGCTATAGCAGTAATGATTCCTCCAAATCTAATGTTGCCCTTTGATCCTTTTGAAGCTTGCTCTCCAAGGAGAACTCCCAACCAATAGCCCAAGTTGAGTGGTTTCTTCGTGACACAACTGTAGAGGAAGCGGAGGTCGGTATTATGTACACCGGGGTTGTCAGAACCACGACCCAAAGCTGTCCGACACAGGTATTCATGTACCAGCACCAAAGCAGGATCTCGAATGGTTTTTCTTCTTGTCTTCTGTGAGTAGAACTCTTTATCATCATCTGCAATTGTTCTCCAAAAAGCCTTTTCATCATAAGGAAGCTCAGGTTCTGTTGTTGCTGCCCCATCAAATAGCAAAGCCTTGTGTACTTGGATCAAGGACAACTCAAATTGTTTGCCTCCCAAAGAAAACTGAAACCTGCTGTTGATTCCATCTTTATGAAAGACAAATGTAGCTAGAAACGCCCTTGTCAATTTCTCATAAGTAGGAAATCTCATCTCTTGGAATCTAGGCCATCCCATATTCTTGAAGTAATTCAGCACATTCTCCTCTATTCTAGTGATTTTCAACACATCCATATCCATAAATTGAGAGGGAATTACCGGCCGAGCAAGAAGAATCTTGTATTTCTCCATATGTTCAGGAGGAATGAGAGGTTTACCGAAGGTTGCTGAGACATCTACTCCACTTTTTGTTGCTGCCGATTTTGATTTTGTAGTAGTTTTGACCTTTTTGCTTCTCGGTT